AGACAGAAACTTCTTACCGGAGTCGCACTGGCCCTTCTGGATTAAGATGACCGGAGGAGCGTCCCCGACCTCGGCCCTTTTGTTTTCGGCCCTGAGGCGGCAGATGCTCGGATACGTCCTCCCGTCACTGCCGCACACCGGTCCGGCGGAGGCGCACACGCACACGCACGACCCCTGGGACCCCCCCGGGGTGCCCTCCGGAGCGGGGTCGCACCTCAGCCCGTCGCCGCATGAGCGGAAACCGCCGCCGCTGCCGCCGCGCGCGTCACCGCACGCGTCGCCGCACGCGTCGCCCTCTCCGGCCGCGCACAGCGGGCAGCAGCCGCACGCGTCCCGCACGCGCCCGTAGTAGCACAGGCGCGGGGCCACGGGGCACCGGGACAGGTCGCAGGCCTGCGGGCAGGCGTGTCTCTTCCCCAGCAGGCCCGCGTGCACGGCGGAGGCCAGGAGGGTGAAGTAAGCCACGGCCTTCATGGTTCCCGTCCTGCTGAGACTGGGATGCCCCCATGTCTGTTTGCGGCCGTTTTCACGACTCCCAGGTCTGGCTGAGAGCCAAAAATCAGGCCCTGCTCTGTCGCAACATGCAGATTTTGCATTTTCCTGACTAATCCTACGCCTGAGGTCTACGGAAAGCAGCTCCAACATGTTTTATGGAGAGCCATAAGCGAGGCTATGAAAGTGGGGCCTGGACCTAAAGGCGTTTTCAGTCAAGTCTGATCAGCACATGCCAGTTTCAGTGTCAGCTCGTGCACACCTATTCCACGACCAAAGTTACAGTTATCCTCAGATCTTTACCTGGACAGTAGTGTCATCACGATGGAAAGGAGATGGTCCTGTGGTTGAGGTAGGTCTGGAAGAGAAGCACGAAATACAACTTCCCTCGTAGCTTATGCAGAAGCACTTTCCACCCATTATTTATTTATTTATTTATTCATTTTTCCGTATTTATATGGTTAGTACATCTGCAGTCGTTCTTTAGCTATTTACTGTGCAGATATTTTATATCTAAAGGACACATATTCCAGGACGTAACTTTTCTTTAGCTCTTTTGTACTATGTACACTCTTTTTACATTGTCTGTTGTAGTTTGATCTTTAATGGCATCTTGCTTTGACTCTGCCCTTTGTGCCCTGCATAAGCTACTGGAGCCTGAATTTCCCCTAGAGGAGTAATCCCAAAAGGGATGAATAAAGTTGAGGCTAAGTCTATCTAAGTTTAAAAAACGGTTCTTCTACGGAAACCCGTCCGGTGCTTCGTGTCACCATCACACGGGGCATGGGAACACTACGGTTTGTATATCGCAAATTAAACTAGAAGATCCTCTCCAGGCTGCTGGGATCCAAGAACATATATATCACTGTTCATCTTACAGATGTCAAACAGCGCAAACAAGACACAATCAGGACTTTGATGAGTGTCAGGGTTGATGCACCCTTTTGTCCTGTGTTAGTTTTCACCAAAGTCCCTAAAAGGACACCATGTCAGGACACCCTGATCATAGGAACCCCAATTTTTCTGAATCCCAACCAATTAGAATGCATTGTAACAGATATATAGATAGATAGATAGATAGATAGATAGATAGATAGATAGATAGATA